ATATATATATAATTTATTATAAATTTTAATTATATATATAATAAACATGAGTGTTCATTACACAAATTAAAATACTAGTAATCAAATATATAACATAATGAATGCAAGGTTGAAGTGGCCGGAATAACCGATAATTTTACATAATATAACGATAACTGGAAACAAAGAAAAGGAATCATTCAAATTGAAATACAAAGTGAAATTACAAGAAAGAGCATAAGCTTGTTGTAGTAAAATGCATGTGAGGTACTCCTGGATTTTATTCCTTATGCATTCAATCATGTAAGTATATAATTGAAATAAATAATATAGAGAATTCAAGGGCATTTGGGTTTATTCCCATGAGTCTTGAGGCGTGCATAACATGGACAAAGGTCCTTATGGCCAAAGGTGCCAGGGGGTACACAGTGGCATCTGTGGCAACATGACTTGCATGCTCTTTTGCATCTCTTCCTTTTAGATGCTTTGCTGCATCTCCGAGAACATTCATGGTTGCAATCTAATAAGGACAATGTTCAATATGATTTCAGTTATGCTACATAGCTAAAAGGAAATATACTCATAATATATCTAACTTTGATTCAAGAACAAGCTTAGGATAGAAGAAGATAATGCTAAATATCATTGTTCAATCTTATGATATTATCAAGGTTCTAATTATTTTGAATTGTATTCTACTTGGTTAAAAATCCATTAGTCAATCTAAGAATAGTCAGTTATGTGTTCATAAATAATTACAATCACAATGAATTTTTATATAGATAGTTTTGTTGAGAAGTGATTTTGAGATATTTAATTTCATTTAGATAAAAAATAAATAAATTTCATGTAGTAAATCAACTTAAGAAAAAACAACTGTTAGAGAAATAATAACAAACTTCAATTTTTTTACTTCATGAAAATGACTTCTTTTGGTGGATTTATTTATTTATTTATTTATTACGGATTTAAACAGTTATCTAAATCATATAAATTTTAAAAATAATTTTAAAAAGCTGAAATATGGGATTATAATATTTCTCAAACATAGAGCAAAAATTTAGATCAATTTACTATATCCGGCATCAATTTTCAAATCAAACAATCACGTGAATAAAAATCCTTTTCAACAATAAATAGTCTCATGAAAAATATGTTTTGGAATTTTTCTTTTTTGGAACGTTCACGTGCTATTATTAGGATAAAACATATGATCGATTCTTTTTTCAAAAGAAAAGAAAAGAAAAGAAAATTTTAGTTCTCAAGTGAGCCGAATACTTAGTTAATCTCACTACATGGGATATAAGGCTTGTTGTTTTGAGTAAAATATTTCACATTCTATTATTTGATTTAAGACGACTGATCTAGGTAGTTTTCACATAATTTATGTCTTTGGTTGGATGAAATTTTTATATATTTTTTAACTTTATCTTATAGAAGATACATGCACGGATTAGGTAGCTGCATTCATTAGTGGCTAAATACCTATTTTGGTCCCTTATAATCTTTTTTTGTTTCAATATAGTCTTACTTTTATTTTTGGTCTCAATTTGGTCTCAAACTAATTAATTGGTTTCAATTTAGTCCCTAATAAATTAATTGGTTTCAATTTAGTCCCTAATAAATTAATTGGTTTCAATGTGAGACTTCCGTCCAAATTTCTTTAACGGAGTTAACTGTTGCATAGGTAGATGCCACGTGGATGCCACGTGGATGTATAGGTGGATGCCACGTAGATACTACGTGGATGCCAATTTTTTGAAAACACCTGGAACCAGAACGGCCCGTTCTGAAACCAAAACGGGCCGTTCTGGTTGCACTTTTGGTGTGTTAATTTTGCATCCGGAACGACCCGTTCCAGGTGTAAAATTAATACACTAAAAGTGCAACCAGAACGGACCGTTCTGGTTCCAGACTGCTAAACATAAACGATCAATGATTATAGTTCACGGTTGTGAATCATGGAAGGAAAAAGATCTAAGGTACAAAGCATTTCAAACACTGAATTTGGTAATATTGTCAATGGAAATTGATAACTTTAATTGCTAAACAGTTATACTATACAATGTATTATTAAAGACAATGCAATGTATCACTAAAGGATGAACCACTTACTACCAAATTGACACTACCAAATTTTTATATTTTATTTTATTATTTAATTATTTTTTATTTTGTGGTAAAATTATTTTTATTTTTAATGAAGAAAAAATTTACTTACTTCAATAGTAAGTCTTGATAGATTTATTCTATTTAATAATTAATGTTCTATATCAAATTTTTAAGAATTTAATTGTTAAATTAAAAAGTTTTTCATGTATAGATCAAATTTATAAAAAAATTTAAAAAATTAAAAATCATATAATACTTCGTTAAATTAATTCAAATTAACATACAAAATATTTTTATTTTAAATGAGTGTAAAAATTTAGAGGACACTAAAAGAAAATAAATTAATAATTTTATTATGTTTATCCTATTAATTTTTATCATTTTATTTCTCTAATTTTAAATAAGTTACAAAAAATTATAAAGTGATACTTAAATATTTCTTCAGATAGAAAGAGAAAAAGAAAAAGTTATTACTCTATTTATAAAGCAATTGTATTTTATAAAAATAAGTAATTTTAAAATTTTTACCATAAAAAAATATTTTTCAAAATTATTACATTTTTTAATAAAATTAATAAATAATATTCTATTCAGTTTTGGAACGGGCCGTTCTGATTTCAGAACGGACCGTTCTGGTGTACTCTTGGTGTGTAAATTTTGTATTTGGAACGGTCCGTTTCTGATGCAAAATTAACATAACAAAAGCGCATCCAGAACGGCCCGTTCTGGTTCCAGGTGTTTTCAAAAAAAATTCGTCCACGTGGTATCCACCTATGCATCTAGGTGGCATCCACATGGCCAATAGTTAACTCCGTTAAAAAAATTTGGACGGAAGTCCCACATTGAAACCAATTAATTTATTAGAGACCAAATTGAAACCAATTAATTAGTTTAGGACCAAATTGAAACCAATTAATTAGTTTAGGACCAAATTGAGACCAAAAATAAAAGCGAGACTACATTGAAACAAAAAAAAATTATAAGGGACCAAAATAGGTATTTAGCCTTCATTATTTAATACAGTTCTACACTAAGTATATAGAAAACAATCGTTACGAAAACATAAACTCTTCAACCTTAAACACAATCATAGAGGGATTAGCAGAGCTATAACAACACCCATTATTACAAATGATTTTGAAATGCACTTGTACGGTTTCTATGCAATTTCAGATTGCAGATCGATATTAAAATATGAACAAATGTAAACCATTGTGTGCACAAGATGTGAAATTAACGTTTGGGTTTGAATACATATAAAGAATATTACCATATGAAATGAAACCTTTCCAAAATTTGCTACCCTCAAACTAACTATAAACTAAACATTATATTAAAGAGAAAAATGAACATATTTTATTTATCATTAAGGGTGTGCAAACTTACTTATTTTGTGCAACTGGACATGTTCTTTATTAAGAGCCACAATCTGACTTCCTTTAGTTCCTTCATAAGTCTGTAACCAAAAAGCAATGTAAGGGTATATATTTGGTTTTTTACAATTTAGTTTTGCTAGGAAAAATTATATAATCTACAAAATAAAGAAAAGTGTAGATTCACATGCCAACTCTCTCACACAAACATGCATGCATCAATGAATTGAAGAGTTATCTAATTGACTAATTAAGAATCTATTTAGATACAAGTATAGAAACATTTTTTAAAACTTCTCTACTAAAAATTATTTCTTATTTTCAATAAATAAACTCTAAAAACATTTTTAACTTGTATTTAAACAAACTCTAATATTTTAACAATAGCATAAAAGTAGAAAATTTTGGATTACTTACACCAAGAGAATTAGTTGCTTCAGGCGAAACTTTTGCGAAAACCTAAAATATAGGAAATCACACAAAGCAAAGCATAATTTTTTTAGTGAGAAGTTAAGTAACTCATGTTTGTCATCATAAAGAAATGAAGACACTTTAGCATTTTGAACATTGAAACTGTTATCCATGTACCTGTAGTAGTAGAAGAATGAGAAGAAAGACTCTGAAGAACTCCATCTTGTGCTAGGTTGATAAAAAAGAAGTACCTATTGACTCAATTTATATACACATTTTCTTGTTAATTAATTGTATCTTTATCTCTTAAAAGAATTTACAACCAATAGATAAAAGAAAATTCACAGGTTGTAGGTGATGAGTACGTACGTACTCTAAAATGGTGCATGCTGAGCTTGTTTTCACGCTATTTTGGAAGGTTCCTTCACTTTTCGTTTTATTGCTTATGCTCTAGTGAATACACAGCTGTGTGATGCTTTATCAGATAATGGAATCACGAGAAAAACTCAGGGAGATTGATTGGTCCCCTCCACTTTCCAGTTGTTATGAATTATGATAAAACTATCTATGCCTTATTTGTGAATATATAAGAACTTTAGCTATATATAGCTAACAAAAGAGACATGAAATGGATCCAACCTAAGGAAAATACGACATGCAATAAAATCCACAGTTTTGTTTTTATATAAGAAATTGTTACAATGACTCGTGCATTTGCACGTACGGGTTTCAATTTTAAAAATATCCATACTTCTCAGCTAAATTTACGATAATATATACTATCAAGCGGGAAAAATTTTCATCAAAAGTTAACACTTGGCAACGTTTTTGACAGTTTCGCATGATTATTTTCACAAAAATTTTGACACGAGTGAGCAAGGGTAACAATTATCATATTTTTTTTTTTTATGATATCTCATACCTGCTGGAAAAAATAAATATAGAAGTTGCATCCGCAACCACGTTAGGCAATTAAATTAATGTGTGTTGATTATTATTTTAAATAAAATTATCACTTGATTATTTTTTTTTCCTTTTATTTTTAGTATTTGTACAATTTTGGTCCAGAATTTTAATTTGTACATGTTACAATGAGGTACCTTAGTCGTCTTTTATCAACTTTTTAACGAAATCACGTAATTAACATTAGTCTTAGTTGGCAACTTCAAGTGTCCGTTACTTACGAAAATGTGACACAAGCAACTTTTTATTTAAAAATAAACTATAATTATAAATGTGAAAAGAGAAAATCTACAATAGCAGATTTAGTGTGCACTACTACACGTGAATATAACTTTTCAACCTTCCCATTGTTAATTATATTGCACTGAAAATCACATGTAGTCCTATAAATGGGTCAAGTACAATATCCTGGTCCAATTAGCCTGATATAGATGGCGAACAAGGCTAATAAAATTGAGTTCAAATTAATTTGGATCATGATATATACACCTCCATTTTTTATAAGTACACCTCCTTTTTGTAAAAAAATAATTAAAATTTTAAAATGTTCTTAATTTTTAATTTATTATTTTTATATTCCTAATATTTAATTTAACACTTGTTTTACATGTCTCTTTCCATTATTTTC